CCCCAGCCAGCCATGTTGGCTGGGGGATTCTTGGGGTTGAAGTCCACACATCTTAAAGTTGCCAAGCTTGAGAAACACTGCTCTAAAAGGATGAACAAAGCATCCAGATGGTCCTGGGTGCAAAAAGGGCTTTCTGAAGAATGCCCAGATGCACCCAGGGAATGAAGGGCTGACACAAAAACAGGTGCCACGCTGAACCAGCACAAGGGTTTGACAGATAATAAATTCTGACAAAGGAAATGCCTCCTGGCTCTTTTTATTTTCTTTCCTTGCAAGGAGGTGATAAAACCCAGCTCAGCCCAACATTAAAATCATCATTATCAGTGAGGAAGAAGTCACCAATATCCTCTGGCCGTGGCGCTGGTGCTCTTCCCCCAGAGAAGCTACCAGCTCTGGGTGAGGTTGGCCTCAGATGCGGATCTGGGCAGGGGAAATAGGACCCAAGGGCTGTGGGGCCAGAGAATACCCCACTGCAATTGATCCCCAGTCCTCCCACAACAGCCTCCCAAGAAAGCTGGAATGAGGAGGTCCTCCATGCCGGAAGCCCATCCCTTTGGGATGGCAGATATACTCTGGAAAGGCCTGGAGCCTTGAGTTTTTGGGCCACATCTCCCCCCTTGGCCTGGGGCACAACCCCACTCACCAGCACGCTCCTGATCGCCTCTCTGGTTGGCCACATGAAGTCCAGCTTGAATTTCTCCTTGCTCAAGCAAGTCAACGTAGCCCAGTTCCTGAAGAAGGAAGGAGACAGAGGGGTCTGAATAAGCAACTTGGCTGAGATGATCAAAGGTGGACAGCAGAACACCCTGCTACTTGGTGGAAGAGGGTTAGATATTGCAAGCAGGAAGGCCGCTGCAGCAGCTAAGGACACTGGAGCATCAGTGGGTCTCTTTCGATGTTCTTCAATTGATCATAATGAAGGGAAGCTTTTAGATAGGAAAGAGCTGGACTACCCCTATTGGCATTGGAGTGAGAATACCCAGGAAGTGCCCCTCCACCATGGAGTTTCCTACATGTTTCCTACCCCAAAGATGCTGCTCAGAGAAAAGTCAGAAATTCAGCAAAATGGTTGTCCGACGATTCCTTTTCCTTCCTTTGGAGGAAAAGCCGTGGAGCCCAGGAGAGGGAGAGTACGAATTCAGGGGTGCACAAAATGCTCCCACTAGTTTGGCAGCTCCAGGGGGCCTGATTTAGCCAGAGGCTCCGTCCCAGAGCCCACCTGAAGGGTCCTTCTGTTCCAGAGATGGAGCCTTCTCTAATTTGCTGGGAGAAGGATGAGGAGAGATGGGGCGCAATACAGAAAATTCCTAGCCCTGTCACTGCCAAGGAGGACCCCTCCTCCCCTCCCTGCCCCAGTCCCGCTCCCCAGGGCGCACCAGTGCCTTCTCTTCCCGGTCAGCGTTTAGTTGATCCAGGTACCATCTTGCGTTGTCTCGCCGCAGGTTTCTCAGGGCCAGGACGGGGTCTTGCAAAACGTGGTACAGAGTCTGGGGGTCCTCGGCGTCCAGTGCATCATCGACCGCCTCCAGGGCACTCCTGACTGATTTAAAGAGAGCGAAACGGTCGCAAGCGATGCTCGTGCAAAAACTCTTTCTCGGACCGCAGGCAGGGAGAGAAGAATGCGGCCCAGGGAACTTGGGTCATTGGGCACATTTGATCTGCAGTGAAGCAACCAATGAAACAGGAGGTCCTCCCGGCTCAGGCTTGGTGTCCCCAGCAAGGAGCCCTGAGAAACCTCCAGGAGGGTGGCCAGACCCCACCCGCTCAGGTCAGGGATGCTGGAAAGGCCCCCTCTTTGGTTTTTGCCCGAGCTCTGCTTCAGTTCAGCCAAGGCCCAAGGCCTGACTCAGCTGCAGGCAAGGCCGTTTTGCGGGGCCACCGATAGCTCCCAGGAAATGAGAAGTTTTCCCCAAACCCACCATCCTACGGAGACTGGCACACTGCAAACTTTCCAGGCCGTGAACTGGGCATTTCGCCCTGGGGGCCAGCTTTAGCACCCTCCCTGCTCCCCTGCAACTGGGCACTGTGGGGACTGCAGGAAGCAGAGGGCCAGAGGGGGCCTCTCAGGAGCGTCCCAAGAGAGAGGGCATGTGGGGTAGCCTTCCGAAGAGCATCCTGGATGCAGCCGGAAAGCTGCTGGCCTGACCATCGCCACAGAGATGGCGACAGGGAGATGGAAGTAGACCTCCCAGGGCTTTTTCAGAGAAGGCTAACTTTGACTTGACCAGATGTCTTCAATGACAAACTATGGTTTGAAAACAGTGATTTCTGCCAAGGCTGGCTAGACAAATGCCAGTAATGACCAACACCCCTCCAAGCCCAGCTCTGTCACCCCAAAGCAGAATGGGAAAGGAAAGCCAGCTAAGGTCAGGGCTTGTGTGTCCTTTGGAACCGCAAACCATGGTCTGGATTCTTAATTCTTGCAAGTAGAAACAGAATTGCAGCAATGTTCAATCTAGACAAGGGACTTCTCTACTTCTAGAGCAGCAGAGGCAGGGAGGGGTCCCGGTCTACTCACTGTTCACCAGATGGATGCTGCCTTGGATTTCAGCTTGGGTCAAACACCGATCGTAAATGTCTTCGCCATCCGGTGTCTTTTGCAGATGCTGAGAGCGAGCAAAGAGAAAGGTAAAAGCCTGCAGCAGTGTTTTGCGGCTTCCAGAATATTTCCAAATGAATGAAACAGAGTAAGAGAACCGGGAATCGCCCTGAGGGAAGTGGGACTCATCCCCACCTCCCATGATCACCCTTCTCTCGGAACCTACCAGGGATTTGGGGCATTCGGAAAAAAACATATTATGCAAATGAAGGCTAATTTGCATGAGCTAATTGCACATTTGCATGTGTTTTCCTACTAAAACTTGCAAGGAGGTTTGCATAATCAGGGACGGGAGCTGAGGCAAATTCAGCAGAGGAGAGCTTTCCACGCCACGGCGCTGTGAGGCTGCTCCCGTGCTCCAGGTTGCTGGCGAGCGTTGGCTTCCCCCGCAGCCGGCCGAAACCCAGTGACCAGAATTAACATCAAGTGCCCACAAGAGCAGGGAGAAGGGGGGCCGGGGGGCATGAGGAAAGGTGAAAGAAGGCTGGCTGTGTTTCTGCCTACCTGATTCTTTGTGTTCTGAGCCTTCTCCACTTTGGCCCGGAAGAGCTCTTCCTGGTAGGAGGCCCCCAGGCTCTCCTGCAGGCCAGCCAGCATGGCGCTGGGGTTGCACAAAGCCGCCACGGTCTCTGCCACAACCCCCACGTCTATTGCGTTGTTGATCGCCAGGATGGCAGCGTGCACTGAAGGGGAGAAGCTGAGTTAACGTGGGGAGAGCAGCAGCAACAGGTCCCACAGATCAGATGGCGGTGAACTGCTAGACCAGTGTTTCTCAACCTTGGCCGCTGGAAGATGGGTGGACTTCAACTCCCAGGATTCCCCAG